AATTCCTGTTTGTGCTTCGCCTCGCGCACATTTTAGAGACACTGATCATGAAATCCTGGGAGACTTAGAGGAGACTACTAACCTCCTGAAAGAACAGCGCCAAGCAAGCGATGTGGAGGTGGCGCCGAAAAAGAAATTGCTTTACCGGATGTACTCGTTTGGACGACAAGTCAGTACCCAGAATCCGGACGACGTGACCCGAGTTTTGGCCAGTTCCATAAAGGGCGGTCGATTTTACCACGGCGAGAGGAAGACAGCTCCAACGAAACACAGCTTGCACACTATTGAAGAGGTTGAACGTCGCAACATCACAATCGTCGGCTTCTCTCCGTCGGACCACCGCAGAAAGGACTACCATCTGGTGGACTCGTTGACAAGGCTGCCGCAAATACCGACAACCGAGGTTACTAGACACCGCAGAACGCCGGAGGCGCCGACAAGCGCAACTCAACGTCTGGCTTTGAAACCCGATTCAAGACCGAAGCCGACGCTATGGAAACGCTACACATTTTCCGACAATGTCGATGTTGTTGAAGCCCCACGTCATTACAAAGACACCGCCGCATACCGAAAGGGTAGAACTCCCCACGTGGCATCGCACGGCTACCCTCTCACCGAGGAGGAGATTCAGGCGGTGGAAAAGTTCGTCCCGACGCTTACGCGTCAGCCCAAGGTTACCTGCGAACCGTACAAGGCCATGAGAACTCGACTGACGTCGTCTGTCAGAAAAACCACCACCACCACCACCGCCACGACCACAACCAGCGCTGCTACCACGACGACAAAAGCCACCACAATGAATACAGGTGGGACACAACAGAAATCCAGTACCGTGGACCAGGACATAGCTAGTGCTCTCTTCAAAGACGCCAGCGCAATGCGCTTCCTGAGGCGCAACCCCGGCGCGGTTTTGGAACAGCTGAGACAGAACCTGCGACCTGGCACACTCGCGCAGTTACTGGACGATGTGATGCACGACGCGGTGGGCAAGAAATCGAGGAAGATTTTCATCCAGGCCTTGCAAAGAGCCGCCGATGGAGAGAAGGAGTCGAACAGGCTGTTCAAAAAGTCTCCACGGGTGTAAGTTGTTCCTCCACTGGATGTTAAGTCTGTTCCCTCGCTCTCCCACTGCACATTAAACGCGCTTCCCGTATTGACGCAGGGTGCAAACCCCAAGTTTCGGTGGAAAACCCGTGTGCCGTCCGTCCAATGTTCCATCGCAGGACTGGCAACGACTCGCGAAGTCGCAGGCCACCGTGCACGAAAAGATGTCCACATCGGGCGGCGAGAAACCCCATTGTAGAGCTCACGAGCTCAGTCGTAACGGCTACGGACGTGTCGCACAAGGCTACGGCAACTACTTCTCCCGTCTCAATATCCTGGAGCACGTGCAAAGGGCCGACCACATACGAGGTAAGCGGCAAGTCACTTGCGCATAACCAAACACATAAGCCGCGGTACACACTGTGTAAAATGGTTTTGATACGACCCAGTGGGTCTAGAAATGTAATAGAAAATGAAGCAAGAATGGTACGATCAGATAGGGGCGCACTGCACTGATTTTAATTTGTAGAAGTCCTAATGAATCTTGTTAATGTTTTAGCCCACGAACGAATACAGAACTCAATTTCAGAATGGTAAGTCAGTAATCTAGCGATGCTATCCAGTTCTAAATTAACGAATGGTGCACAGTTCGATTTACCACGACAAGACATTACCGCACAACTGCTATTCATAAGCAAGATGTTATGATCATAATGCGAGTCGATAGATGCACTCCAGGTAAAGTACTACGTGAACTCCACTAAAAATATAACAACACTGGCAAAGAATAAAACTGAACCCAAGTTTCGATTAAAAAAATATTCAGTGTCACGGGGCTAAGTAGCAGAAAAATGGGGTCGGCAAAAAGCAAAAAGGGAGATTTCTTCGCAACAATCAGTTAAGTGAGTGGGGCTACGCTTTTCGTAACTTCTCCGAAAATGCCTCAAAAAGTTCCAAGGAGTGTTGTTCCGCCCGACGTGCAGCTGTCAGTTCAGAGGCTTTACTTTTCAGAAGACGAAGAAGCCGTGACGACTCTGCAACTAGAACTTCACGATATTGTTTGTGTAACTCATATATGTGGGCATTTGTATCCGCTTCGGGATTTCCAGATGGTCTCCTGAGAACAGTAAAACTAAATCCAGATTACCAAGGGCGATCCACAATGCACGTCTTATTAATAGTTTTGAGAGCATCCCCTTTGCTCGAAACGTCCCTCTCCTCGATTAATCTCGCAACTTGTTCCAACACAATTTAAAAACACAAATTCGAATGTACCATCACGTTGCGTTTAAACTCTTTGACAGATTTACCAATTTCATGGTCGAACCATTCTGAATCTAGAGCCCGAACTTTTCCACAGAACTTAGACATTTTCTCTCTAAGGGGATAATAAAAAAAGGATTTCATACACAAAGTAAATTGAGAGTGTATCTATCATTTTTTCTACAGCATTGAGAAGTTGTTCGCCGGTGGTTAAAGCCGATGCTCCCATACTTCGAAATCAACCAAACCAAATCCACAAGGACAAAATTCAAATGACGCGGCATGAAGGACAGTTGGATTTGTTGTTACGAACAAATACTTTCAATAAATTAAATATGCAATTTCGCATATTTGCCTACAATAAACTTTCATTTAAAATGAAAACTTCAAATTAAACCGTTATGAATGTGTCTCGAACTTTGAATACTGACATATGCATTTATTCTGAAAGTCAATCCAGCTCAAATTCAAATGATCATGACAAAACGGATATTATGGCTTATGCTTCTACACCGTGTAAAGTTGCTACCACCTAATTCCCGTTTCTATTTAGCACATATATATTTATCTAGACCGCCAAGTTTGAATTCGTTCTGATCACGATATTTTAATATACGATTGTAAAAATTTGTCGTTAAATAACATGTTTAACACAATTATTAGCCTAGTATTCAGTAGAAGTCTGCATCTGCGTATTTTGTCTAACTCTAAAACCTAAAAAATAGAAGTGCTGATATACTCATTCCATAAAAACATGCACACTTATGCAGGGGCCCCTAAATAAAATTCTCTTAAATTTTTGTTTCTTAAGCATCAATTATTTGAAACCAACAATTCCTAGCATTGTGCCACAAATAAAGTCCAAGTCATTTTTTTAAAATTTCTTTAATGATTTTGTCTTTTTTACGAAGATTTCACAATAGCATCTCTTTTTTACATGCTGTATTGAACTAGAAAAGCATTTATTTTCAACATTTAAGAGTAATTTTTTCTGCGTAATCAACAATGAATTTCATCTCTTAGCAATCTGTTTATATCTCATTAAATATCCTCCCCACGGAGGCTCCAAATGAAGTCAGGCTATTCATCCTAAAACAGACCTTTTTTGTCGCGTCCATCTTTCTTATATTAGGCCCTTTGATTTATTTCTTTTTTTCTTTATGGGCGAACAAGATATTTACAGGAGCTGGTAAGCTCCCTCAAAAATGGTCAGACCGCCAACTCGATTCAATTCGATAATTAGGCGTAGATGAAAACATAGAATTCAGAGCGGCAAATTTCAAGTAACATGCTCTTTAAACGCTAATTAAATATTGGCTACATGTGAAATATCCCTTCAACCAAACATCTTAATATGCAGGCATAATGTCAGAGTGCACATCAATGGCAAATAATCTTGCCAATAATTCTTTACTAAATAAACAATTAAAGCATTCAAGTTGGTCCAAAGATTTCTTCACAATACGAAATTATTGGTACGAAATTACAACACTACATTCTGGAAAAATTATCACTTGATTTTAAATCGGACAGTTATTTGCTCTGATTTCAGGAAACGTTCTAGGACATAAAATCCATTGGCGTATGGTGTGTGCGAGTCACGCCACGCTAACGGTATTATCTAGGAGACGACAAATTTCGAATTTAAATAATCACTTATTGTGTAAGTGGAGTCAAAACGAAATATTTTGCCAATTTCTGCTATTTAAAATAGTTATCGATCAAAATTATTTGCTCAGTGGTTCTAAAACAGTATTCCATGATATTTTGTGCGAAAAGTTTCTGCATGGTTGTTTTGGTACTACAGGCAAGTCTATCTTGCCTAACGGATATCTTAAACAAAATCAGATATTTTAATTTTATCATTCCAGTCATTTGTATACGGGTTACTTATTAACCACTATAATATCCTATTAATCAGTTTTTAAAACATTTATGCAGATTTATACAGCATGCTTCCAACAACGTAAGCTTGTAAAGCGTTACTGTGTCCTTTCATCATAATTATGTTATAAATATTTTAAAGGATAACCTAGATATTGAAAAGAAATTGTGGCGCTTGCTAATTAAATTGAACACATTGCTTTCTATGCAGACAAAAAAAATATATTTGCTATTTAGGGAAATATGTGGATAGCAGTTTTCGGTTCGAAAACTTTATAAAAATTGTGTTTTAGTAAATGTTGGGACTTTTAAACCGTTAATCAACCTAATTGTGTTTTTTATAATAATTAAAAATGTAGAAAATTTAATTTAGTACGTGACATTATAATAGGGCACATTTTGTGTCGCGGATTCTTTTATGAAATGGGAAACACTTTGGAATATCTGATATATTTGAAATGAATGGCTCTTTTACTGTTTCTAATCCTCAAACATCTGTATGATTTTTTCATCGTTTAATGATTTTTTGTTTATTATTTAATAAAAAACCAGCTCAAATATTTAGTTGAATTCTTGAACAAGATGTAGCAATTTGTGCATGCTTTGTCTGAATCCGATGCAATTTTCTGATTGGGCACTACTTTCATCGCATTTCCGCCTATTTTTCACACTGCTGCAAAATGTTGGAGTATGTAAAGAAGTTTGAGGCTTATATGAAAAGTGGCTCGAGACATCCTATTTATCCTTGGACAGTCACCTCAAGGATTCGTCAGTTTCCATACGCGTGGTATTACCAGAATAACACCTTTGTGAGGTATTACGCTATAATCCTGCCCGTGTGTTCCCCTTTCGCTATTTATCTTCTGTACAAATTCCACTTCATCAAAAAGAAGTTGACGCACAACTACAACCCATTTGACCCCAATGAAATTCCAATTCACAAGATTGGACACCATTAAATATTCTCCTGCAGCTTAGTTACATTTTTGTCATTTCATCTGTTTAGAATAGAATCCGTTTGTAGAGGCTCCGTTTTTTGAGTATTTGGTTTTTTGGTATTAGACCATTTATTCTACGACATATTTCACCGAGTGTTTAAGTTACATTTTTCGGCACTGATGTGACAACTTACACCCTATTACTTAAAACTTCTAGTGGGAATCAGCGAAATATAATTATGCGAGAATTTTAGGAGTGGCAGTAAGTATAGAGGTGTAAATACTATTCAAGACAACGTTTATGGGGTTATCAAGGAGTGGTGGGAATTGTATTTTGCCATGTACGGATTATTTTTGAGACAATGGAGGTTAGAGACAGTTTCGCGTGACCATTAGCATCTCTTATTGCTTTTAAGCCATCAACTTACAAATTCTTGGCACCTTTGCCTTGGTCGCTGTTAATTCTACCCACCAACGTTTTGTGAAGTTGAAGATAGTCGTAGTGCACCAGGATCGTCGCTGATTTTTAGATACCCCTGAATCCGGGACTATTTCAGCTCGCTTGCCGAACGCCTCATTTCGCCTAGTCTAGTTCCTGTTAGGTTTATGGCTACGGCTTTCCAGGGCTCTTCCAAATTCATAACTCGTGCCGTTACTTTTCTACTCGCATCAAGTACGTCGAATTCGTTAGATTTGAACTGTGCAGTTAACTGATTCTCTGCCAAACTTCCTGCTGCAAAACTTGCATTGGCGACGCGTAGATTCTTCTGGTTGCTATACGCTCACCCACCAACCTCTTCCCTGCTTTGTATGATAGTCTTTGTGGTTCAGGTGCCTCCATACGACTTTTTCCTAACTCGAATGATTCAATGATCCCACTTGTCATGCGCAGATTGCTATGTTGACATTCTATGGCATACTAACTCTAGCCAACCGAGCTATTGCATCAGGCCACGCAGTTTCTACCCATTTCCCACCAATACTACTCAAATATGGCTCAAAATGGACACATGTGCTTGTTTTTTTATAACAAAAAACCGCGATTATAACCACCCATCAGTTGTAGATGAGTGGGTGGATGAGCACAAGTAGGGGACTTTGGTCAGTGCTAGTGGTCTTAATGAAGATTATGAAAGCCCTGGAGAATATTTTCGATCAGTTTAATCTCGCCCGCGCTGACCAGCGCGTGAAATGCCTCTGTCAGTGGCCACTTGAAGGCGGCCTTGGGTGTGGACAGGGTGTGGGAGAGTTTACGAGTGGCCGCGACGTAGAGCAGTGCAGTGGTGAATTCTGGCGTGGGGCAGACACTCAGGCCGGCGGTCTGGATTACGCGATTCTTCCGACGACAGTCATCCCAAGTGGAACTAAGCAGACACGTCATGAGGTAGGATTGGACCAGGGTGGCTGGCGTAAGTATGAAGAAGTTCGACATCTGGATTAGGTTGGTGACAAAGTCGGAGAGCTGAGTAGATCTAAGGAGAAAGAGGTTGTGTCTGACCCTGGTTCGCGCGAACACACACACCGCATTCAGAATGAGAAGGTACCTAGCCCCAGCGAATATCCTGTCCGGTAGAGAACTAAGAAAGGCGCAATTGGACCATCGACAGCCATGGATGAGGTGAAGGATGGTCAGAAGTGGCAGCGGAGGGTGTTCGTGCATGTCGATGGTCCTATTTCCGTGGAGGTGAGCCCACCGCGATGACAAGACGGTCTCAAAGTAGGCTGAAGCAATGCGCATCGCGGAGGCGTCGACTGGCACGCGCTGCGCAGCCGTTCCCAGGATCTCCTGTTCAACGGCGGTCGACGGGGCTGATAGCTGGAGGTGCCAGGGTTGCTGGAACATGTCGAAACCCTGGAACAGACAGTCCTGACCCACCGGCTGCAAACGACTAGTCTGAGACCCGGCGGTTAGAAGGAATGTGTGAACGCACGATCTGCAAAGTATGGGAAGAGGTGTCAACGAGATGTCAGGAGGCACACATAAGGGGAAAACGTTGTTTAAGAGTTACGCCAAATTGAGTTCAGCTCAAACGAGA